ACCATTTGTTTCAACATCCATGAATAAATTTGATTCTAAAATTGTACTTTGAAGTCTAATATTAATTTTACGTAAGCTTTTCTAAGTACATCGCATATATCGAATTTTGCAAAGGCAATTTCATTGCGTCCTGTGCCTTTAAGATCACTCATGAAAAGAGTGAAATCCATGACAATTGGTGTGGCATGACCCGATTGGTCACGAGAAATAAGGACTACGAACTCGATTAAGTTAGCCCATGTCAATTTGAAATCATAAGGTCTCACCATTTCTGTTTCGAATGTTTTATAACGCATATGAACTTTGAGGTTTAGTTGTTTTTCACAAAATGGAACGTTATCAACTACAATATTGAAAAATCTAAAGGAAACATTAGATTTTTCGAATATTTTTCTGCATTGAATGAAAATTGTCACTTTTGTCGGAAACAATTTTGAAAAATCATCAAATATCAATAGTTGAAGGACCAAATGAAGCAAATTAGTATAGACTGCTGTTTTAATAAATAATGCATGGATTCTTTATAAATAAATAAGAATTAAAATGAATTTTGAATAGACTCTTAACATTTGACTGCAATTTCAGATATTAGTGTTCTTATAATAAGAGAGAAGGGTAAACTATTGACTGTTTGTACTAAAATAGATTGTATAGGCGAAGATAATTAATATGTAGTTAGTAGTATCATATATAATAAGGATTTTTTAGATAGAATTGTATATAAAGGATGTCTTAGATAAATGTGCCAATAAATTAAGGAAAATCATTTGACAAAAATATACAAGATAAAATCATTAATTTTGCCTCAAAATCGTAATTATTCATTACTGTTTTGCATGGTGATGGAGGCATCAAACTGCATTGTCTCAATCTCTTTAGGTTTTGACATCCAGCAAAATTATTGGCCGGATAGTCATTCCTCACATATATTGTTTTCGGGCAATAGGGAATATTCATATCATCTGCTCTCATGAATGTTCCTCTTGGAAATAATGTTGTTCCGCAATATATCAAAGTTTCCCAGTTAGGATTACCTCCTAATGATAGATTTGTTGGGATTGTTGTAACTGTCTTAGGAAGTCTCAAATATTTTAATTTATTAAGAGAATATATTGATCCTGAATAAATATAAAATAAATGGCTTCCCTCTTCAAAATATATCTTTTCAAGGTTTTTGCAATAGGCAAATGCATCAAAAACCATGTATTCAATAGTAAATGAAATATAAACTTCTGTAATAACGTTATTATACTTAAACGCTTCAACACCTATCTGTTTAACAGGTAAATTTTCATAAACATCTAAGATATAGATAACTGAAATGTAATTGAATTTCCAGCATTATTATAACTCCCAGATACATTTGTTCCGCATATTGAGTATCCGTCATATTTAGTATAAACGACACCTTGGGTGTCTGTTATCCCAGCCGTTCAGTCGATATCATTAAAAAAAATGATTTTGAGAGATTTTGCAGGCGTGGAGTACCAATATTTAGTTTTATCCTCTATAGCGAATAATACCATTGAAGTAACACAAATAAATCCATCATAGCGAATTCATTTTATTTGAACACTTTTGATTCGGCGGATAAAAATTGAGCAGAAGTAATGGGAAATATTGGAATAATCACAATATCTTACAGGAATAAAAGCATATCTTATATATCAACGTTTCATATTTTGAGATTTAAAAATATAATATTTGCTAATTTTCGATCCTAAATAAAATTTAAAGAAAAATGAATTTGAAAGCAAATGTGATTAATTTTTGTTAGTAATTTTATTTTGGAAAATGAATTTTTATTTTTTACAAAAAATTGACTTATCTGTAATGATGAATTTACCTTCCACCCATGATGGCTCCAAGTAAGCGTTGAAGACGTGGATCGCCCATCATTGACATAATTGCAGCTGGATTTGACTGAATTTGTGATAAGAGGTCGACCATATCTGGTTCTTCAAGCATTGCCTGGACAGAAGGATCCTTCAGACGTTCAGCAAACTGAGCAAACATTGGATTATTAGCGAACATTGCACCAAGTTGCTCAGCCATGTTTGCGCCGTTGCCAGCACCACCCTGTGGCTTTTCTGGCCAAGGGATGCAAGGTTATCCTTCAAAGCCTGGTTATCTGTGCAAGCACGAATACCACGCTTATATGCCTCGCGAGCTTCATCAATCTTGTTAAGCTTGTAGAGGCAAGGCCAAGCGAGAGTAGGACTTCGGGAATGTTGGATTGAGAGAGATAGCCTTCTCAGAATCGTCAATTGCAGCTTGATAATCTCCTTTTGTAGTATAAGCGGCTGCAGGTTGCAGTAGAAGATATGCTGTGAAGGATCGACTTTGATAGCTTCTGTGTAATATCTGATAGCTTCGTCAACATTTCCGGCAGATAATGCTTCGTTTCCTTTGACTTTCAACTTGTTAGCAGCATCGGTATCGTACTTTGGTTCTGGGATCAAATCAAACATCATTTGTATGTAGGTTTTTAGTTCGATTGGAGCTGCTTCATAATGAGATCTCTCATCAATTGATGAGGGAGATCATAACAAAGCAGCTCTAATGTATATGCTCGTATTAACCGGGTTGTAATGCGTTGTAACGTCAGCTTGTAGTTCGTTTGGGGCCACTTCACATTGAGATGAGAAGAAATGATTAAAGGACTCTGAAAGGCTTTGGCCGTTGATGTTGTAATCGCATTACTTGGAACTAGCTGGATGCTAAGCTGTGTAGAATGTTCGATTAGAGCTGTTTTGATATGATTTTTCTCATCATAAGATTGGAGGAATCATAGCAAAACAACTCTATGGGTTTACACATCATCTACTTGTATGTAGATGTTTGGGAAATTGTCTTGTTAATCGATTTTCGAGATGACTTTCAAATGCTATAATCAAATGACAAACAAGTCTAAGATTTCTCGACAATACATCAAATCATGATGTTTGTAAGTGCGATGAGATTAGAGTTTTTGAAGGAATGACAAGAGAAGTAGGGAAGCTCGGTATTCGCCGAGCAAATTAAAATTAACGTATGGATTAAATTTTAAGAGGAATTCAATTTTAATTACGGGTTGTTCAATATTGATTAATATAAATTTATTAATAAGAATAAACAATTTTTGTTTTTGAATTTATTCAATTTATAGCTTTATATAGTTTCAAAATTGTACAACTATGATTATTTCAAACAAAAAATATCTTACTTTTTCACTCACTTTCACCCTCACTTTTCCCGTAATTCAAATTTCAACATTATGTATTTTAATTCCTTATAGTATTTTTAACATAATTAATCAAATAATAATTGGAAGTTCTGAACTCACTTTTTCCGTAATTCAAAATCAAAAATATGAATAATATATCTATTTATTATATACTAATGCTATTTTCAACTAGAAGTGAGGTACGGTAATCTTACGGATTCCCGTAAATCAATTTTACGGAAAAAGTGCAGTAAACTACTCAATTTACGGGAAAAGTGTCGTAAACTATTGATGTGGCGGTAAAATCACGGTAATTCACGGAAAGCTATATGCGAAAATTTGAAATTATACAAAATCGAGCGAAACCACTTTTAAATAGGTTGTTCTCGTATTTCAAATACTATTCCCAGATTTATTGTCGTCAGAATATTTCCAAATTTTTGCCGATTTACAAAAAATGATTTACAAAGTATATTTTTTAATCTAAAAAATTCCTAAAAAAAGGAACCGGTGTGCGGAAACCTCGGTAAATTACCGCGGTTCCCGTTGGGACTGCCATATTTTTTTGAATAAAGCTCTGTGATTATAAAAAAATATTAATACTGAGTCATGACTTTTATATATCAAAAGTAGTACAAATTGAAAGTATTCTTATTGTGATAAAGTTTGATATAGATTATTTTCATTGCCAAAAACATTTGTTTGCTGAAAAGTGACACAGACTAAGAATTCTGATTATTTTCAATTCAAACTGAATAGGAATACTGAAATTCATAATTTTAAAATAAAATATAGGATACATACATTATGTATGATTCGCAGGTGTTTATTATAAACTATATTACTTTCAATAAAATAAATTTCATAAAATTAAAATGATTATTAAATAAATAATGATTTTAAAAGTCTAGTTCCATCGACTCGTAGCTAAGTGAGTTTAAATCATCGAAATTGATTTGGAATTCATTGGAATCAGGAATTGATAAATCAAGCAATTGATCTTCTTTTTTCGTATTATTTGTAGGACGTTTCTTTCTTCTTGTTGAATATGCTTCCATGCATAGATTATAAACATTTTCTCTAGATGCATGCCTCCGCATTAATTTTCGATATTGAGACTTTAAACTTACATCTGTTCTATTGTGCATTAATGAAGCAATCTTCCTCCATTTCTTTCCAATTTCTTCGACTTTAACAAGTAGAAAATGATTTTCTTCTGGCGTAAATTCTTTTTTGTTGATTCTACTGTCAAGGTAGTTTGTCCAACGATCTTTGCACTGTCTGGGGTTTCTTGAATGCATCTGCTGTGCTATATAATTCCAGTTTATATCCCTTTTTCGTGGAAAGAACTTAACAAGATCGCTAAGTCTGCGATCTTCTTCAGGGGTAAATGGATTCTTTAGGCTTTTACTGCTCTTCTCAATAAATGTATATTCCATCTCCATTTATTTCTGAATATTATCGGCAATTTTGATAAAAGTCTTTTGAATGCTTCAAATAGCGATCATGAAAAACTCAAAAACCATTTGATTTGCATGTGATATTTAAAATATTTCACCGTGATCCAAATAGCTTTTCTTAGAAATTTTTAAAAATTTGAATATAAATAGACGATAGAGTCCAGAATTCATTTTTTGAAAGGCCATTCAAAAAATAATTGAATAAATGATCTTTTCCCTATTTCTTTTCCCTTGGAGTTCAGACAAAAATGTCCTGTTTTAATATAGTTTATTGCATATCATAATGCCCATCAAATTATTATTTCACTTTAATTGAAATTTCAAACTTGCAGAAATCAAAATCATAATCAAAATAGTCAATTGAATAATGCATAAATTTGAAAGTAATCGGATTAATATCAATCATTCATTTTCTTGCAAAAATTGCAATATAAATCATGTTGGAAGCATTTGTAATGCAATGATGTGGTAATGTTTTTTAATACCAATCATTACACGCATTTTTAATTGACCTCAAAAAATGATTTTGATTCAAATTGTCATCCATCCTGCCAACCGTAAAAAACAAATATAATTACAATATAATTGGATAAGAAGGTAGTAAATTTATAGATTTCTATTACATTCTGAAGAGGAAAGCTGTGGGGAATATCCGAAATTTTAAGAGATTAAATTATTGACTCATTAGAGTTATAAAAAAGACTGATAACTAACAGGGTTATCGTATTTTAATAAGCATTGAATCAATAAACCAGACTTTCCACGATTCCTTATCTGTGGTAATTCAAATCAATTTAAATATTGAGAAATCCTATTTCTGAAAGAAGGAAAGGTTTCTGAATCATAGTTATATAGAATAAAATCAGATATGTTAATATTGAGATATAAATTTTGTATTATAATCTAAAAAATGTCATGTATGAGGAGGAATACGATAGTTGTCATACAATTAAAAAAAAAAAAAAAAAAAAAAAGGTAGTGGGGCTTCCAGGCACTTCGTGCTTCTAGCCTGATGATGTTTAATATAAAGAAGTTTTTTATTCGGAAAATTCTTCTGGGTCGAAACATTATATATAATGTGTCACTTTTCACAAATTATATATGTTTTCATGTTTTGTCAAGACTTCTTCGTAAATGTTTTGTCAAGACTTCTTCGTAAAATCAGACAAAAATAAAGTTTAGGGTAGAAGGTTAGATCTAACCTCTTTTCTAACTCTTTTCTACCCTCTTGAATTTTCAAGACTTCTCGTAAATGTTTTGTCAAAACTTCTTCGTAAAATAGACAAAAATAATGTTTAGGTGAAGAGGTGAGATCTCACCTGTTTTTCACCTGTTTTCTCACCTCTTGAATTTTCATGATTTCATCGTAAATGTTTTGTCAAGACTTCTTCGTAAAATGTTTTGTCAAGACTTCTTCGTAAATGTTTTGTCACTTTTCTGTCACTTTTCAGGAAAAACATTTTTTTTATTATATATAATGAATTTTACAAAACCACCGTTACCGTTCTTTGGAAATAAGAGTAGATGTAAAGATATTATATTGAGAGAACTTAAGAAACTACCGAATGGTCTAACATTGTAGATTTGTTCGGTGGAAGTTTCTATATATCCCATTTGTGCCATATAATATTCCAGACTCAAAGATTATATGCAATGACTTCGACAACTATATGGACCGTCTCAACATATTCCAGACACAAACAATTATTGAAAGAGTTAAAAGAAAAGATACCTATAGGTAAGATGGAACGTATACCATTAGATAAAAAAATATTGTGAGAGAGGTTTTGAAAAAAGCAGAATATATGACTGGGATAGTATATCTGCTAGACTATTATATAGTGGTCTATAAGAGTTCATGACATTGAAACACTTATGTCAAAAGTTTTATATCTTAACTATACAAATGTTTTCAAAGAGGACATAGAAAAATATATTGAGGGTATAGAGTTTGTGAGATGTCATTGGACAGAGTTTGTATGAAAAATATAAAGACAAGGAAAATGTTTTGTTTATAGTGGACCCGCCGTTCTTTAACACATGGGATTTTCAATACCAAGTAGACTGGACTTTGAGAGACTCTTTAGAAACTTTAGACGTTTACATAACCATCCATGCTTTTACTTTACATCCGATAAAGTGGTTTGGAAACCGTTATGAGATGGTTAGAGGACATACATGACTATGAGTTTATATATGACAAGATAGAATATGAGAGGGTCCTATAAACTGGAGAAAGTGTCATAACAAAGAAATTTTATTAGTAAGTAAATGTGGTTTGAAATGGCTACTTGTTTTAGGTTTTTTCCATTGTGTCATTTATTTATTTGACGTGGCAGAAAAGTACAGAGAATATGAAGATGAACATGCCTGCAAATGTTCAGATATGTACTCGTAGAGATATTTTTATCTAATATTAAATGGACGCACAGAATTAGCGAATGCACAGCAACCTGGACAACCAAACCCAGAGAATATTCCAAATGAAGTTAGAATACAAACTGCAATGGCAAACTATGGTCAAGTGCCAACAGATGTACAAATGCAAACTGCCATGTCAAATCGCTGCGTTAGGTTTGCCACCATGGTAATGCAAATATGAGATGGAAAGAGTTTTATACAAACCCTGAAGTGATATAAACAACTTTATGCAGATGACGCGAACACAGGAGTTGACCCAGAATATGTTTTCTACCAGAGGAGAAACAGAATGTATGAGCTCCAGTTAAAGAATGCTATGGAACTCAACAGGAAACGTAAGAGACTAGGCGGACATTAGATTTTTACATATAGTAAAATGGGTTTCTTCAGTAGTATTGGAAACTTCTTTCGAAATGTTGGAAGAGGTATATGGAATGGAATAAAAACCGTAGGAAGAGGATTTGGAACGGAGTCAAAAATATTGGTAAAAGAGTAGGTCAGTTTGTTGGTATTATACCTAAAGACCCTGAACCAGAAGAGCAAGCTCCTGTTATACAACAGCCTGAACCTGCACCACAGTCTAGTTGGCAACCAAATCCAACACCTCAACCGTATTAAAAAATTATATTTTATCCGTTCGATAGTAGTTGTATATGAAACTAAGTTCTAAGTAAAACGCATGGTATAATGGAATTATTCTTTTTCTTCCATCTGTAGTAAACCATACTTGAAAGTCTGAAATACTTCCACTTGGTGGTTCGTATAACTTTGTAGGTTTTTCGTAAAAGTCATTTGCCAAGCATAAAAAAGAGTTTTGGGCGCCAGAAAATGAAGCATGAACAATAATAGCATCTTGGTCGAAAACATTTTTCATATGTTCCATTAGGTTTTTCGACTTCATAAAAGTCTGGGTGTACTGGATATGCTGCAGGCTGATTTAACATCCTCATAAATCTATACCATGCCAAGTTGTTATTTTTGTAGAAATATAAACGTTTTCTCCAAGGTCTTCTATTCTATTGATTTTAACAGTTGCATTTTTCCTGTCATAAATAATATCGAGATGGTACTCTCCTTCGTCAATGTTATACTGGTTTGCATATTCGAGATAGATGTCGTTTATTTTTTCTTGAAAAGCTTGAAGAGTTGTTTCTAAGTTTACAAGCAAACTAACTTGTAAAAGTTTTCCCTGTTCAAATTTCTCATACATACGTTTTCTTTGTTATAGTATCGAACTTCAAAACCGACCGTAAATGGGAAACCATGTATGGCTTCTGAAATGAACTTCATTCTACGAAGGCCAATAGCTTTTGTGACAGATGGGTCTCTTAGCCATCTTAATGGGTAGTCAAAACGATAGCCTTCATGCTTTACGGTCTCTGTCTCAAAACTTTTGACCGACATTAGTAAAAAGTTCATCTAATGGTTTAGTTGTAGCAATTCTTGAATTTTCTTTTTCTATTGAAAGCATATTTTATCTAGAATAAAAATGTCGAAAGATATTGCTTCCATGAGAGAAATACAACACAACCGACAACTCATTATGCAAGCTCTAAATAAGAACACAACAAACTTTTCAAACTATTTCTAAGATATCTGAGTCATTGAAAGAAGGAAACTTAAAACTGACATTAAACCCAATGACAGATGAGTTTCTGTTTCAAGACAATAAGAACCATACTGTCTGTATAAATCCAACAAAAGGAACTTTAACGAGAAAAACTATAAATGAACTTCTTTTGAAAACAAGATGTTGACAACAAAGCTGACAAAGAATATGTAGACGATGCAATAGCAAAAGAAGAAGAAAGAGCTAACAATGCTTATGCAACAAAAGAACATACTCATCCTGAACTAGCAGACAAAACATATGTTGACAATAAAATGTCAGTGAAGTGACAAGAGCTGAAAACGAATATTCTAAAAAGACTCATACACATTCTATATCTGAAAATAACAGACTTACAAGAAACCTTAAACAGTAAAAGTGCCGTTGGACATACACATACCATTGCAAATATTACAAACTTACAAGAAACCTTAAACAGTAAAAGTGACGTTGGACATACACATACCATTGCAAATATTACAAACTTACAAGAAACCTTAAACAGGAAAAGTGACGTTGGACATACACATACATCTTCTGAAATAACAGACTTAAACGTTAGCCTTGAAAAGAAAGCAGATAAAACATATGTCAATGAAATATACCAAAGTTTGATAGGAACAACGAAAAATATTGAAACTATTGTTGGTGACTTTTCTGTCAATGAAGAAAACAAATATTTTAGATGGGAGTTTGTCACTCCTTAAAAAATGGTATACGGTATAAACTCATTCCGAAAAATAACAATGAAATGTATGTAGGCTATATATAAAGAATAATGGTACACAAGTTAAAGTTCCATTAGACAACAACTGCTACTTAAACTTATATGGAGACGAAACAAAAGAAATATTTAAGATTTATGAAATGACAGATATGACATTGCCTGACCCAGCTCCAGCACCATATTATTATGACTATGGAGATGACGTCAGAACACCACATGTAGATGAACAAAAGCTAACATTATATTTAGATTTTTATAGATATAAAAGATATAATGCAATAGAAAAAACGAGAATAGTATACTATTATGAAGATGACAGAAATAAATATTATAGTCAAGACTTTACCTACCCTGAAAACATAAGATTATATTATAAAAAATATTCTGACACAAACCAGAAGAAACCTGAAATAGTTGCACTATATTTTAAGTTCAAAAAGAGACAATCCTATAATATCTCATATGTTTGATTTAATGAACCCAGTAGGTTCTATTTATACATCTATGGAAGCAAGAGGTCCTCAAGTAATGTTTGGTGTTGGTGCATGGGAACAAATAGTCGACAGGTTTTTGTATTGTGCAAACTCTTCAAAGGAAACAGGTGGAAGTAAAACGATTTCAGGTGAAAATTTACCTGCACACAAGTCACTAACATAGATTTAAGTACATCTCAAGCAGGTTGGCATAAGCATAGATATTGGGATTGGTCCAGGAATGACAAAAGGTCAAGGATATGATGTTAAAGACGACGTTAAGTTTGCTATAAATTGTTACTGGATGACACTCAGGGAGAAGGAAACCATACACATTTCGTTTCAGGATATACGCAAACAACGGGACAAAGTAAAGAATACATGCCACCTTACATGACAGTTTACGCATGGTATAGAATTGCTTAGTCGTCATTTTCAACTTCTTTAGCATATTCGTCAGGAGTTGTCTTATATTTGTTAGGAACTGTCTTTGAAAGTATACCACCTTGAACTTTGACAAGTTTGAAACGAGGTCTGACAATAGAGTTTTTTATCTTCTGCTTGCAGTCTGTACATTTTGCCATGTTTGCCTAAAACTTCATAATATTCTCTTGTATACTTTCTTCTATTTTTACGAACACGAATGTGAGTACCTGTCGGGTTCCCATTGTTGTCATAGTCAATAGTATTTTCATATGGGTCGCGTTTAGGTATTTCTATTTTTACTTTGTCGCCTTTCTTAAGTTTGAAGCCCGGCATTCTTTTCTTGTTTGTCTCTTTTGACTAAACTATTAAATATATAGTCTTTCTCTAAGTCGGGGTTGTTTTTCATTTCTTCGGGGGAGTGGTTTCCCAAACCTTTTTGTTTACGGCTATTGTAAATATTTAAAACTTGTCTCATCTTTGCCATGGAGAAGTGTCTATATTTGTCGTCATATGACATTTCATTTGCTTCAGCACCTTGTGGTTGGTTTAAGTCTCTTAACATTTTTATACATCCGTCAATGACACCAAGAGCAGAATGGTTTTGGTCGACAATGAAATATTGGTTTACATTTTTTGAACGCAGATAGTTTTTTACATCATCTGATTTGAAAAGAACTTTCACAGTCAGATGTCAGTTTTGTTGGATGGTATTTGTCAACGAATATTGTCAAAGCAGTTTTCACATCTAAAATATTTTTTGGACCATAATGGTATGGCTTCACAGTATCTTGTGTTTTGACCGACAAATATTAGCCAGTATGGTGGTCCATCTGTTTAACTCTCGGAATGTTTTCCAAGATATCCATAAACCAAGCATTTTGGTGTTTGAAACTAAAGATTTTTACCATGAGTGCTTTCTTTGTCGCTTTAGAAACATAGGGGTCCTTGTTTGGATTCGTCATTTTTTATCCTATAAGAAATGGGTTTATTTGGCGCATTAGCAGGAGTTGCATCCAGATTTTTGCCCGCAGTGGGAACAATAGCCAGAGGTGTATTTGGAGTTGGAAGGAAGATTTTGAGTACATTAGGTATACTTAAAGAGAAAGCACAACCTATTATACAAACTGTACAGAAAGGTTGGGATGTAGCACGAGATGCAGCAAATCTTATTCCAAATCCTGAAACAAGAGGAAAAGTTCAAGGTTGGATGGACAATGTAGGAAGACAAGCAGGAAACTATTATAACAAAGCAAATGACTACTATAACCAAGCAGGACACTATATGGACCAAGGTGAAAGATTCTTTAACAGAGGATATAACCATGCACAACAATGGGTAAACAATAACCAACCTCAACCGCCTCAAACGTGGGGAATGTAAAGTTTTTTACTGAGATGAAATGAACAATACAGCATTGAGACAAATGGGTTCAAGATGGATTTGTCGCTTCCAGCAGTTACACAACGTGTTTGTCAAGTTCTTCCTATACCTCAGGAAGTTTTAGACCGACTTAAAAACAACAACAACAGTTGAAAACAACCAAACTAATTTTTTACTGAGATGAAATGACCGAAGAAGTTGAAACGGTAGATTTGACACCACAACAAAAAGTTCAGAACCATTGTCAAAACCTGTCAAAGAACTTACAGATGAAGAGAAAAATTCAAAATAGAAAGTGCCAGGTCTGGAAATACAAACCCTAACTATAAAGTCACTTTTCATAGAAATGGAACGGCTAGTATCTCAAAAAGAAACAGACTCTCACAAAATAAATATTGAAGTCTGAAGGAGCTTTCGAGACAACAGATGGAAAAGTTTACTTCACTGACCAACAGTTCATTATTGAACATCTCATTGACTTAGAGTCGAAATATATCTAAACTTTACAACAACACAAAAAGTTGAAAGGAAAACAAAACAAATGGCATATGATATTTATGAAGATGTTGACGACAACAACTGTTCTTGCAGGTGAGGTAAAGTCAGAGGAACCGAAAAGTGACGAAAAACCGATAGAAGAAGATAACCAAAACCAAAGTTTAGTTTGGAAACTAACCAAGTCAACCTTCATTAGCTGGTATGGGTTGGCGTCAAAGACTTATGGCAGCAGGCGGTTATGTTAAGTAAAGAAAAAATATTTTTTTATTTTTATAAAATGCCCCCATATAGAATGGATAGAAAATCTGCTAGAATAAAAGCAGAGTTGCAAAGATATGGTTGGAGAGTTTCGAAAGAAGTTTAAATATAGGAAGGGAAGACTCATAAAAGTCTATGACAAACTGGCTGGTCTTCGCTACGAAATGGATTTGGAAACAGCACGTGCAAATTATCCAAACAGACTAGAGATGTTAGAAGAAGAACGTCTTATGGACATGCTTTTCGATGTGTTAAACATTGCATGAAGTAAAATTTATTTTAAAAAAGTGACATTTTTTTATTTTATTTGAAATGTACGCTGAGTTTGTTGGAGAAGACCGTTGGAAACTTGTTTGTTAGATGAGAAATATGAATTCACTGTTGTGAGTCATTTGAAGTCAGAAACAAAAAAACAAAAAGAGTTTTAAAGCGAATGGGAGCGAAATAACGGATATGCTGTTATGAAGATGGGTGGAAACACTATCTTAAACATGTTTGTCATTGCAACTCATTTTATACTGAATCCTAACAATTTACCTTCGCCACCATTTGTTTCAACATCCATGAATAAATTTGATTCTAAAATTGTACTTTGAAGTCTAATATTAATTTTACGTAAGCCTTTTCTAAGTACATCGCATATATCGAATTTTGCAAAGGCAATTTCATTGCGTCCTGTGCCTTTAAGATCACTCATGAAAAGAGTGAAATCCATGACAATTGGTGTGGCATGACCCGATTGGTCACGAGAAATAAGGACTACGAACTCGATTAAGTTAGCCCATGTCAATTTGAAATCATAAGGTCTCACCATTTCTGTTTCGAATGTTTTATAACGCATATGAACTTTGAGGTTTAGTTGTTTTTCACAAAATGGAACGTTATCAACTACAATATTGAAAAATCTAAAGGAAACATTAGATTTTTCGATATTTTTCTGCATTGAATGAAAATTGTCACTTTTGTCGGAAACAATTTTGAAAAATCATCAAATATCAATAGTTGAAGGACCAAATGAAGCAAATTAGTATAGACTGCTGTTTTAATAAATAATGCATGGATTCTTTATAAATAAATAAGAATTAAAATGAATTTTGAATAGACTCTTAACATTTGACTGCAATTTCAGATATTAGTGTTCTTATAATAAGAGAGAAGGGTAAACTATTGACTGTTTGTACTAAAATAGATTGTATAGGCGAAGATAATTAATATGTAGTTAGTAGTATCATATATAATAAGGATTTTTTAGATAGAATTGTATATAAAGGATGTCTTAGATCAATGTGCCAATATATTAAGGAAAATCATTTGACAAAAATATACAAGATAAAATCATTAATTTTGCCTCAAAATCGTAATTATTCATTACTGTTTTGCATGGTGATGGAGGCATCAAACTGCATTGTCTCAATCTCTTTAGGTTTTGACATCCAGCAAAATTATTGGCCGGATAGTCATTCCTCACATATATTGTTTTCGGGCAATAGGGAATATTCATATCATCTGCTCTCATGAATGTTCCTCTTGGAAATAATGTTGTTCCGCAATATATCAAAGTTTCCCAGTTAGGATTACCTCCTAATGATAGATTTGTTGGGATTGTTGTAACTGTCTTAGGAAGTCTCAAATATTTTAATTTATTAAGAGAATATATTGATCCTGAATAAATATAAAATAAATGGCTTCCCTCTTCAAAATATATCTTTTCAAGGTTTTTGCAATAGGCAAATGCATCAAAAAACATGTATTCAATAGTAAATGGAATATAAACTTCTGTAATAACGTTATTATACTTAAACGCTTCAACACCTATCTGTTTAACAGGTAAATTTTCATAAACATCTAAGATATAGATAACTGAAGATGTAATTGAATTTCCAGCATTATTATAACTCCCAGATACATTTGTTCCGCATATTGAGTATCCGTCATATTTAGTATAAACGACACCTTGGGTGTCTGTTATCCCAGCCGTTCAGTCGATATCATTAAAAAAAATGATTTTGAGAGATTTTGCAGGCGTGGAGTACCAATATTTAGTTTTATCCTCTATAGCGAATAATACCATTGAAGTAACACAAATAAATCCATCATAGCGAATTCATTTTATTTGAACACTTTTGATTCGGCGGATAAAAATTGAGCAGAAGTAATGGGAAATATTGGAATAATCACAATATCTTACAGGAATAAAAGCATATCTTATATATCAACGTTTCATATTTTGAGATTTAAAAATATATATTTGCTAATTTTCGATCCTAATATAAAATTTAAAGAAAAATGAATTTGAAAGCAAATGTGATTAATTTTTGTTAGTAATTTTATTTTGGAAAATGAATTTTTATTTTGTACAAAAAAATTGACTTATCTGTAATGATGAATTTACCTTCCACCCATGATGGCTCCAAGTAAGCGTTGAAGACGTGGATCGCCCATCATTGACATAATTGCAGCTGGATTTGACTGAATTTGTGATAAGAGGTCGACCATATCTGGTTCTTCAAGCATTGCCTGGACAGAAGGATCCTTCAGACGTTCAGCAAACTGAGCAAACATTGGATTATTAGCGAACATTGCACCAAGTTGCTCAGCCATGTTTGCGCCGTTGCCAGCACCACCCTGTGGCTTTTCTGGGCCAAGGGATGCAAGGTTATCCTTCAAAGCCTGGTTATCTGTGCAAGCACGAATACCACGCTTATATGCCTCGCGAGCTTCATCAATCTTGTTAAGCTTGTAGAGGGCAAGGCCAAGGCGAGAGTAGGACTTCGGGAATGTTGGATTGAGAGAGATAGCCTTCTCAGAATCGTCAATTGCAGCTTGATAATCTCCTTTTGTAGTATAAGCGGCTGCACGGTTGCAGTAGAAGATATGCTGTGAAGGATCGACTTTGATAGCTTCTGTGTAATATCTGATAGCTTCGTCAACATTTCCGGCAGATAATGCTTCGTTTCCTTTGACTTTCAACTTGTTAGCAGCATCGGTATCGTACTTTGGTTCTGGGATCAAATCAATGATAGAGTTGACTCCTGGGATTGAAACAGCTGGGTTGTCAATCTTCCAAAGATTCTTGAGGCAGTCAATAGAAACTTCGAGTTCGTCTTGATGTTCTGTATCCTTGGAGGCACATGACTCAAGATATTGAAGAATGAGGCACTGGGCAAGACGTTCTTTGTTCATAAGTGGCCGGTTAAATAACTAAAAAGTGACGATTTCGAAGTGTCAAATAAAGTGATCGCAGAAAAAATTACCAACTCATATCAAAGTGAACTTCTATATATCATCAGGTGTAACTGTGTAATTATCGATATTTGTTGATTATATTTTCTTATTCAACCATCATATTTTAATTTCAGATATCAATTCTTTTTCGGAAGATTTTGTATGTTGTGAATGACAATATTAACAAAATAAATTGCAGTATTACCTGTATTGTAGATCCAAATGTATTAAGTATGACGTTTTAATAGACTTCATCATGCACTGAAAAAAAAAGCGAATAGCTTTACAAAAATATTGTCTAAATCAATTCGAATGAAAACCTAAACTAATAATGCATTGATCACAGCTTATTTTGACAGAATACTAATAAATGCATTATCTATTAGAGTCAAAATATTTATATATTCGTATTAAGCAATTCATTATAGAGTCATGTAACTAACAAATTCAGAGGTTGATTTATTGTGAACAGATAGTATTAATCGCATACCAATAGCTTTTTTGAAATATTTAGCTCTTTATAAAATTTTTGGATTGTCAAAGAGTCATTTCATTTTACAAAATTTCAATGACATCTCAAAATTGTAATTGAAAACTTGGGAAAAGTCGTAATTAAAAAAATATCACAGAAATCATCATTTATTTAATTGAACAACAAATGATTGATTAAATGCAATACATTATTGAAATCAATTATCTTTTTCTTCATGGGAGGATCAGGATGAGGAACTGAATTATTGCGAATCATCAAATATCCATCTTCATCATCGTAATAACCATCAATGATCTCTATTGCTTCAAAACCAAACTTTGTATATAGACTTAAAGCAACATAATTAGTCACTCTTACATGAAGATAGACACTGAAACATTCCTTGGTCTTATCCATAGTGAATTGGAAAAGTTTATTTCCATATCCTTGACCTCGATATTTTTCCATTATAGAGAACGAAATAATATAGGCACAAAGGGAATTATGCTCAACAAACCACTTAATAATGACTTCTCCTGCATTACATCCATCGATTACAAGGATATATCCTTTGAAAACTGGGCTATTTGGCAGAGATGCATAAAAAATGTCATCATAATCTTGTTGAAAGTTCTCAATATGCATGGCACGAAGATAGATCACTGTGTCCTTAGTTACTTCTTGAATACATTCCTCAGGCATTACTGCCTAAATAATGATCCTGATCAATAATTTTCAAAGGTGGAATTTATCTCACAAATTTGAAAAATATTAAATTTTGATCAACAACCGCAAAATTTTTCTTTGAAAATGATATATAATTTGGTAAAAAATTATTTACTAGATAATTTAAACATATCAAATCAATTTAAATGAGAGACGAATTTTTGAAAGTTCAAATTGGTTTCAAAATGTTATAATTAAAGGAAAATATATTGAGAGGTTATCGATTTTGTAATTTAATCGTCGTCGTTATCGATTTTGTAATTTAATCGTTATCGTCTTTTTCTAAACGTGCATTTTTACATTAAAAGCAATGCAACTCCAAAATTAATTGGTATTTAGACTTTAATTAGGTGCAGACAAACGAAATGCAGTCCAAATATTTTGGTGATATATGAATTACATAAATTTAGGGAAATTGAAATTATATCTTTTTAAATTTTTAGGAAAACAGATTTATAGAATTGTTTAAGTCATCAAAATAATGCAGACTTAGGTCAAATTTTCCAAATTTAATCATTTGCAAGACTTTCAAGCGACTTCAAAATGTCGAAATATAAGTCCAAAAATAAAATTACGATTACAGTCTATCCTCAATTATTATCACGCTAATTATTGAGTGACCCATGCGTTCGTATGTATGTAATACCTTTTAAAAAGGAGATGAGAGAGATAAACTACATTTACAATTTAAATCTGATGTATTTACTTGTTACATTTACAAATGTAAATGTTTCTCGTAATGTTTACATTTTGTAAGTATAACGAATAAAAATGACGCACTTTTTTTACAAAGTCAAATTATGCGATACAACTTTACTTGTTACATTTACAAATGTAAATGTTTCTCGTAATGTTTACATTTTGTAAGTATAACGAATAAAAATGACGCACTTTTTTACAAAGTCAAATTATTGTTCGTTTTTGCAGCTTGTAAACGATTAATTGTATAAAGCAATTGATATTAGCACGACATAACTGAATAATTCTATATTGAAATCAAAAGCCCTTAAAATATCATGATATTTTAATTTCATAACAAATCTAGGAGACTATTTGATGAAAACATATCCGATGTGGGTTTTGTTGTATTATATAACTTGTTATTGACTTCTTAGCTTTCCAAATTTTTTTCGATAATGAGAAAACGAATGAAAAATCAACATTTGGTCCATTTAAAATTTGATTTGTTTACATTTTTTTTACTTTTTGAATTTCAATTTATATTTTCCTCAAGAAATACTTTAGATTTTAAGAAACTAAATCATATAATCTACTAAGAAAATATATTAAATCCTATAATACTCAAAGTTTTGTGATAAATCCGATCTTTTTTATTTTACTTTTATTATGTTTTTGCAAACTTAAGGTCATCACTAGGTAAAACATAATACTCTTTGAAGTTAAGTATTTTCACAAAGAGAGGACCAACAATATCAAAAGATTGAATAAAGATTTGTATTATTTTATTTATTTTTAAGAACATGTTTAAGAACCCTCATTATCTCCACGAATATTGCATATTTTTCTATTCTAAGACCACCAAAATTACGTTTTAATATAGAAAATAACATATTTATGTGATGCTAAAGTCGAAGTCCTTAAATATTTTTGAAATATTTACAAAATATGCTCTTTCTATCATCGATACTTTAATACAGAGCAAATTTAGTAAATGTCATCACATTATTTTTTCATAAATCGTTTTCGAACTTTTGAAATATTTATTTTAAACCAGTTTTCTACATTTAATATGTGAATTATATCAAAAGTAGATGGGCGATACTTGTAAATCTATTTAAACTATTAGTTTGCTATTATTGAAGAACTTTATAATTTTTTTTTCTTATGTATGGAATTAAAGATAATTTTGCCGATTCCAACTGGTTTTTCTATATGAGTTAAATATGCCAAGTGAAATTGGACTTGCCAATATTGTAAATTGAAGTATGGACTATATATCGATTTTCATTGATTGATGAATAACTCGGAGTAATGTAATTGTTGATAATGAAAAATAGTTTTCAATTGCTGGTAAGGGCCAATGTATGTTCAATAGCTCCGAAAGCAAAAAATGCACGTTTAGAAAAAGACGATAACGATTAAATTACAAAATCGATAACGACGACGATTAAATTACAAAATCAATAATGACCCAAATATATTCAATAATTTCTTGGAGATGACTAAATTAATGGTGTTGAAGACTTAGATTATAACTAGTGTATTTCAATTTGTTACTTACTTATTGATACATCAAGGCTGTAGGATTTAGGAATAAATGTTAATGAAGGCATCAACGATGGGGAGAAAAACAAAAACATCTTATTAAGGAATGTTGTTAAATAAAATCATTAAGGGTTCATTTACTCCCATCAGACTTTAATTCAAACTTCTGACAAACACCGTGGAGCCTCAATGAAAATTAACCTTAAACATTAGAATTGAAGGTCATGTGTAAAAAAATTGTTCGCAAGCATTCAAATTTTCAGAACTTTTAACGTTCATGAAAATTAGAATTTGCGAACGATTAAAGAAATTGTTTGCAATTTGGCCGTAGGCAAGCTCCGTCCAAATTACAAACAATTTTTTAAATTATCCTTGATATTTTTTTAAGCTTTCCTTCTGAATAAAAAAAATACTTACTCGATCTTTGGCGACAATGGTTGAAAGATAATAGCCAAATATATCAAGAAATAAATTCATGCAATTAATAATAAACATTCTTTTACATTGTATTTTCAAACCGAAAGTGCTATTTTTCCATAACTTTATTAGGCATTATGTTTGAGTTACTTGGCGCAAATAGTTTGTAAGTAATTTCTGACATTATATGTTGCAACCATCAGTGCAGTTTACCCATTATTATCCTTTACTTATTATTAGCTCCTACTGAGTTAAAATATAGGGTGTCCAAAGGTGCGTTTAGCACAGCGCTCTATATGAGACTATTAAAGGAGATATATGCTGATTATAAATATATAATAAAAAATATGAATATATGTATATGATGAGTATGTTGTATTTTGGCGCCATGCCGGGATATAAAATGAATTTTGAGACAAGAGGTGGTTTCGCGGGAAATTTTGGCGGGATTTTTTTCATTTTTTTAATGAATCATAAAGAAAACATCCTCGCTCTTGCAAAAAAATGCAAAGACTGTAAAAAAATCTACGAGATATTGGTAAAATGCTTCGGTATGGATGCTCCTAGCTATTCCACTGTAACGTATCATGTTAGGATGTATCACTTCATGAACAAAAAGGCGCCCATCATAAAAATTGACAAAAAATCGCCGGATCAAAGAAAAATCAAAGCAATTCTTCAAGCGCTAGATGAAGACCCAAGAGCATCACTCAGAAGGATGGAGGAGATGACAAAGATACCACGTACAACAGTCAGTTATTATCTGCACAATTATTTGAACTACAAACTAGCGTATACACGTTGGGTTCCGCACAACCTTAATTCAGTTCAAAAAAAATCTAGAGTCCGATCTTCGAAAGAGCTCCTCTCTATATTGGGTGCGTATCAATCCAAGAAGTTTCGCTTTTTAGTAACAGGGGACGAGTCTTGGTTTCAATATGCAACAGAAGCCAAAATCATGTGGATCCCGAAGGATGAAAATCCGCAAACATTCCCGAAGAAAAAAATTGACACACCAATGATGATGTTGTCGGTTTTTTGGGGCGTGAATGGCATCATCGCAATTGATATTCTTCAAAAACCTAATACGATGAATGCTCAGTATCTAATTGACAATGTTCTTACTCAAATTATCAATTCTGATGAGTTTGAGAAATCCAAACAACAAAAACAAAAGTTTGCAATTCATTTTGATAATTCAAGAGTTCACAAAAGTCATAAGGTAATGAATTACTTGGTGGAAAACAATGTCAAAGTTGTTCCAAACCCAATTTATTCACCTGATATTGCACCCTCTGACTTTTATTTATTCGGCACGCTAAAAAAGAGAGCTGAAGGACGCGAATTCGCGAGTCCAGATGATCTTGAAAATTTTGTAAGAGAGCAATTTGAGCAATTTTCTCATGATGATTTAAAGCGTGTCTTTCAAGCCTGGATCGATCGCTGCGAACGCGTGATTGAATCCAATGGTGATTATATTTAAATAAACTTTATATATATGTAACTTGTTTATTTCTATTCGCAGTATTCAGGTTTGTGCTAAACACACCTTTGGACACCCTATATTTAACAACTTCATGATAACCTTCTTTGAATTCCCAAATGAGTGCCGTTTTTCCATCATTATTCTTGGCCTTTTTATCAGCTCAAACTGAAATAAGATATGTAACAATATCAAGATAACCATTTCTTTGCTTCTTTATTAGCTCCAATTGAGATAAGATATTGAACAACTTCAAGATGACCACATTTATAGCATCAAAGCTTGAATATTGCTCCTTAGCTGTTGGTATGATATATGTTATATCTATTGTAAGAATATTTTCTAATTAAGGCTGCACTTACGCCCATCTGACTTTAATTCAAATTTTTGACAACTGGCGTGAAGCACCATTGAAATTTAACCTTAAATATATGAATTGAAGGCCCTGTCATAGGGGCGTAAGTGCACCCTTAAAAAATGCAATTATACAAACAAAAGTTGATTTTAATATAAATACAAACAAAAATTTATATATCAGGATTACAAAGAACAATATGAAGCGCATATCTTCCATAAAGCTAAAATCACGAAGATTGTAACTTCAATTATTGCGAAATAAAATAATATTTTCATAAAACCTTTTCCTACGGGATTTTGAGCATGTTTTCCGACATTCATATCAATGTCAGTATCAAACATGATGCTGTAATACAATTCTGCTGTTACATTTTGAACATCTTTAATTAAATCTAATAATTCTTCGTGGATTTCGTTTTCGACTTGTTCAATCATTAGATATGATGTTCTGAGTGTTTTGTTAAGGTTATCAACGAGTTTTGGGCATTCTTTGATCATGGACATTGATCTTGTTTGCCAGACTTCAGTTGCGTTGATAACTGTGCGACTGATCAACTTAGAAACATAAGTTAGTGTCGAAAGATCGTAAATCTTCTTTTGGAATAAATCAATTTTATCAAAAACTAATTTTGCTGTTATTACTTCGTTTTTGGTTGGATTTGTAATTGTTATCTTTGGTATCTCTATTTTGGCTATCGAAATTGGAAGATATAATGAATAATTACTGGAAAATTGAACCGAATTAACTCTAAGAGCTGAAGTATCGTTTGGTGACATTCCTGTTAGCCCAAACCAGTACTTTTTGATGGAGTAATTTAATTTCTTTGTAGCAAAATCGTATTTTTGATTATTATTTTCGAATTTGATATTAAATGTCTGATTATTTAGGGATAAGTAAAATACAAGTGTCTTATTTTTAGTTTCAATCGATTTCGTAAAAGAAACTTTCTGTATTTTTAATGCTTTCCCTTGATTTTCGTGTAAATCAATTTTAAAGGTGTTATTATTCGAAGTAATAAGTATTGCGAGACCTGTAAAGACAGAAGGTCCTCCCCATATATATCCTTCAGGCCCGAAATTCTTTGTAATCCAAATTCCTGATTTGGCTTCATTTGATTTTTGATCAAAATCGAGAGATATTGTTGAATTCCAGCAATCATCTGGAAGTTTATTTGAAAAATAAAAGCCACCAATGGATTTTGGTTGGTTATTGTAGAGATAAATATGTGAATCCCATAAAATCGTTGAGCCAGTGTATTCCCACACGCCGTAATAGTTCTTATTCCGACTGAGAAGATTCCTAGATACAATATCGTCCAATGAAGATACGAAATATATAAAAAAAATCGTAAACATTTTATTTATTTATGTGGAAAACTGGTCCCTTTTTTGATCAAAATTTTATTATCAGAAATGATTGAGCGGATTTAAATAAGTGGATACACAAAGAAAAGGCTTCATGTGCAAAGCGTATTATATGATTTTCTTTTTCTTACTCAGAAACATATGTCTTAAACTTAAGTTCTATAACTCCTCATTAGGAACATTTCCTCTTATGAGTATTCCTATCCTTATTCCTATGCATCATCCAGAAACCAAATAATCAACCAGAAAAAGCGCAATATGAACTGCAATCATTTGGAGACATTGCAAAAGCTGATCTTTATAAAGGTGGCTTCGTTCTAGAGGATACATTGAATTAATTTTTGAGACTTTTGATATTTTGTGAATATTTTATATTTTTATCTTTTTACTTAGTTCGAGCAATCCAATGTTTAAAATTTGTCTTAAATCTAAAATCAAAATTTAAAAGAGCTAAAGCTGATTTTAGAATTAGACAGATTCGCATCTATAAATGTTGATTTCAATTAGGGAGTATGCTTTAATCTCGATAATATGATATAATTCATTGTTTAGAAAATATTCTTGTTCTTTAATTAAATAAAAAAGAAAAATATGTAATCCGATATCGTTCAGCGGTTAGGATATGTGGTTTTCATCCACAGGATCGGGGTTCGACTCCCCGTATCGGAAAACTTTTTTTATAAATTTCGAAAAAAAATCCCTTCACTTTTTGTTACTCGTTAATTTTTCATTGTTTTCCTTCTTTCGGGATTACGAAACTGAAGACTCCACGTTTAAACTATGAATACAGCTATTTTTGAGTGACAATGTGGATGAAACAAAGAAATACCCTATAATTCCTGGGTTGTCAATTTTTTGGGGATCTATGGAGAAATTTACTTTATTAATAGCGCACCATAGATTCGAATCCAGAGCCTATAATTCTAGAAGTAGATGAAGGTACCATAGAATAACTATGTGGTGTAGTTTTTATTGCTATTTAAGATATCACATAAAATATATTAATCAAATAATAAAAATTTCAATAAAATTAAATAATTGTTATTTTTATATAGAGTAGATATTATTTCTATATTTAGATCGAAAAAATAAATAATTCTGAAGTACTAGTAATATTCATCCATGATGATTTATTTTTCAATATTATACAATAAGAAATATATTTATAAGTTTTTTTTTGAAAAATGTTTAAAATTGAGAGATCAAAATTTCGATTTGTGAAAAGAAATCATAAATCAAATATGTCCTAATTTTTGTTTTTATTAGGGCATACATGTTTTATACTCGAAGTACGGTATGTTGTTGTTTTTTTATTCAATAATTAAAAACTTGCATACAGGTCGTAAGGTGTTGGAATATCGTACACAGGTTACGCACATGTCTAGGGCAACTATTTGTTATGAATGAGTGTATTTTAAAAGATTTGAAATATCATAAGATTGATCCAAAATGGCATTATAATTGTTGTAAAAAGAAATTCATCAAAAGTGACACTTCAGAAAAGCTAAAATATTGAATTTTTGGAACTTTTGATAGAGCACGTTTTTAAATATTAATTAAAGTAAATGTATATTTTGTAAAGATTCTTTTTAATAAAAAAATAAAATTTTGAAGAAGAACACAAAATCTTCTGAAAAATAATATCACATAAACTCATATTATTTTCTAATATATAACTATTTTATATAAAAATCAAATTCAATGATCTTAAAAGCGAAGGATAAACCTCAAAATTTACGAATATAATGAGTGGGAATATAATGCTTATCTATCATAAAACCATATGAAATATCAATTTTTGCTTTACGCCTATTCCCACTCATTATATTCGTAAATTTTGAGGTTTATCCTTCGCTTTTAAGATCATTGAATTTGATTTTTATATAAAATAGTTATATATTAGAAAATAATATGAGTTTATGTGATATTATTTTTCAGAAGATTTCATTCTATATGCCTATGAAAAGTACTCTCAAAACTAACTTTTTCCTAATTATAATTAAATCTAGAATATTGTATTATGCTTAGTATTATTTCATTTTTCTCATTCAATTTAGAATTTACAAATGTCAAAAAATTGAGAGCTGTCACTTTTGATGAATTTCTGTTTATTACATAATAAATGTTTTTATCCAATGTTAATTATATTTTAAATAAAGTAATGCAAAATTAATGACTATTCAAAATTGAGAGAGAACAAAAAATAGAGTTTTTAAGAAACTAAATGTTGAAATAGTTTGGGATATCAATAAAATTAACAGTGAAAAATATTAATCAGAATAAAGACAAAAATTGGGTATTTTATTGAAAAAATATGTGAAAAAGAGTGAAGATCAACCAAAATTTTATATTAATATAAAGGATATAAAAGGAATGTGAACGTAAATAAATATAAATTAAAAGATATAATTAAAATTTTTAAATAATTGTATTTGTAAAGTAAACATGTTTTATGTATGGTTATATATGTGTTTGTTGTTCACTGAGCAACTTTGAGAAGAATCATTTGTGATTCTTGTCAAAGTTGAATCAAAGACAACAATTGATAGACAATTGTTGTCTTTGTGTACAACATTCACTTGAATTATAAACAATAACAAGTGTTTGTTGTTCACTGAGCAACTTTGAGAAGAATCATTTGTGATTCTTGTCAAAGTTGAATCAAAGACAACAATTGATAGACAATTGTTGTCTTTGTGTACAACATTCACTTGAATTATAAACAATAACAAGTGTTTGTTGTTCACTGAGCAACTTTGAGAAGAATCATTTGTGATTCTTGTCAAAGTTGAATCAAAGACAACAATTGATAGACAATTGTTGTCTTTGTGTACAACATTCACTTGAATTAAAACAATAACAAGTGTTTGTTGTTCACTGAGCAACTTTGAGAAGAATCATTTGTGATTCTTGTCAAAGTTGAATCAAAGACAACAATTGATAGACAATTGTTGTCTTTGTGTACAACATTCACTTGAATTATAAACAATAACAAGTGTTTGTTGTTCACTGAGCAACTTTGAGAAGAATCATTTGTGATTCTTGTCAAAGTTGAATCAAAGACAACAATTGATAGACAATTGTTGTCTTTGTGTACAACATTCACTTGAATTATAAACAATAACAAGTGTTTGTTGTTCACTGAGCAACTTTGAGAAGAATCATTTGTGATTCTTGTCAAAGTTGAATCAAAGACAACAATTGATAGACAATTGTTGTCTTTGTGTACAACATTCACTTGAATTATAAACAATAACAAGTGTTTGTTGTTCACTGAGCAACTTTGAGAAGAATCATTTGTGATTCTTGTCAAAGTTGAATCAAAGACAACAATTGATAGACAATGGTTGTCTATGTGTTCGATAAACACGTGTTATTTATGAATATTCACGTGTTTGTTGTTCACTGAGCAACTTTTAGAAGAATCATTTTGTAATACTTTGAAACACAAAATAGCATATTATGCTTTTATTTATCTATATGTGTCATTTTAGGAGACATTGTCTATGCAAGTCTCCCAGAATGACACATTCATACACAATCTTCTTCTGATTGTGTATCTTTTGTCAACAAAGTGCAACAGTGCACTGTTATTGTGTGCTATGTGTCATTGTGGGAGACATTGTCTATGCAAGTCTCCCAGAATTACACATTCTTCTCAAATGTTCTTACACTCTATTAAAACTATTCATAAATACAATTTCAATCTTATCCTCATTTTCTTACTATTACACATATCGAATCCCAACCTACTGAAACACTTATTCCTCACAATCATTCGCAAATTTTTCTAATCTATGTTTTCTCAACTATTATCCTTTACCTTCATAACAGCATTTAAATATTCCTAATGAAATTTAATGTTTTCATATTAAATACTTAATCACACAAAAATTATATTATCAAATTTTTATATCATTCTTAAATTCCAGATTATATTGCTTACTTTGCAAGCTAACTATAATATAGTGTGATAGCCTTATTGAACTTTGATCAAATACTCCTTCGTCCGTTAAAAATTAAGATGCGTTTAAAAAATCGGAAAAAATTCTTTTGTTTTATTTTTAATTTTTCAACCGATAAAACTTTTTAGAAAAACTCCAAATTCCAAGAAATGCTTAGATTCAATATGAAGAACATATTCATACAGTCATTTCGTTTCAAATTTCAATTTTCAAATCGAACAAAGCTGCAAATTTGAATACTTTACAAAATTTTGAAACGTCTTTTCCCGAATGAATATTGAGTTTCAAGCCGGACAAGCTATAGACTTATGACCCACTCTATCATTTTGGTTTTTTTTGCAAAACGTGGGTAAACACCCATCTCATAACACATTTTTTGCAAAATTTGGTAAAATCCGTGTAAATGCTCAGATACATGTGGCCAATAATATTTGAATATTGACAGGTCCGGATATTAGGTTTAAATAGCTGATTTAATTCGAAATATGAAAAAAGATGAAATCTCAATGTAATATAGTAAATTAAGAATCAGTATGAATGGTTATATGATTTTGATAAAAGAAAACTGAATGAAATAGAAAAAAAATTTGATTCTTAGAATTTGAAAGTAATGAAAGAAGAAAAAGTGGATGTAAAGGAGGTTTTATGATAAGGTATTGTCGGGTATTAGAAGTAAATATGTTGAAGAGAGATATTCAGTTAATATGAGACAAAATTAAAACAAGAATTGAAGATTGTGTATGAATGTGTCATTCTGGGAGACTTGCATAGACAATGTCTCCCACAATGACACATAGCACACAATAACAGTGCACTGTTGCACTTTGTTGACAAAAGATACACAATCAGAAGAAGATTGTGTATGAATGTGTCATTCTGGGAGACTTGCATAGACAATGTCTCCTAAAATGACACATATAGATAAATAAAAGCATAATATGCTATTTTGTGTTTCAAAGTATTACAAAATGATTCTTCTAAAAGTTGCTCAGTGAACAACAAACACGTGAATATTCATAAATAACA